TGGAAGTCAATAAAAAATAGGCGAGATAGGTTGGTAGGACACCTTCTCAGGCATGAAGGTTTAGTCAGAGACATATTAGAGGCAGAAACAGGAGTTAGGAGGGGTAGAGGTAGACCTAGATTGGATTACTCTTCGCAAATCGTCAAGGATGTAGGCTGTTCTAGTTTTAGGGAAATGCGAAGTTTATCTCAGGATAGGAAAGAGTGGAGGTACGTGCCCAACCAGTCTTAGGACTGATGACCTTATGATGATGAAAATGTCTGGTGTAGTTCAACCTGTTTCAATTACTGCATCGGGGCTTCTGGTTTTGATTTCGCTATGAAGACACCCTGGTTGAACTGCTGCGCCCCCGTTGGGCCAAAAATCGGCGTGAGCCATCGACCGGGGAAACCCGAAAACCCCGGCATCCGTATGGATTACATCCACAAATTCCGCGTCGCCAGGATCTAATCTTAAACTATCAGGTACGAAGGTAAATAAAGGTCCCGCAGGATCTAAACCTGCAAGATACAAACAACAGTTTTGTCCATTTCTCAACCAAGAGAACCGATAAAATTATTTTGTTTTGACCTGTAATTCGTGGAATTCGACCGCTTCTAACGTTGGCGCCGCACACCCCGGCCATTTGGGCCCCAAGACTGTGTCCAATCAAATGGACACCCTCCAGGATCATACCTTTGGAAACTAAATAGTCGATTAATTGGGCCGTGTAGGCCCCCACGACCATGGTATTTTTTGCGGCTGTTAAATACCATGGTCCGGCTTCTAATCGAGCCGCGTTGGGCGTTATGACATTGTGGGTACCACGAAACAAAAATGCTAGAAGAAAAAAAAGACGATCGGTGTTTATATGTTATGTGACAATAGTTAACATGTTGTTTTACCGTTTCTTACAGTAACAGCTGAACCGGAATTGGACGACTCTAGAAACGCGTGAAAATATATAATTGTAGGTTTACTAAAATCGAAATGGGAAGCGGCTAAAAGAGCGTCGTCCCCTATTTTAATTGTTTCCGGGAAAAGGGGATTATGTCTAAAACGAATTTTATGACTTTTTTGATTACCAAATTATTTATTTCTAACTTACGGGGTGTACAGTTGAAACGATATGTCCCTTACCGGATCTATGAATTTACATTTGGTCTTATCGATAGGCCACAGTTGTAAGTTGGAGTCCTGGTACGAGATAGCGGGCGGTCCTGTACTAAAAAATCAATTACAGGGTGCACAGTTAAACGAGGGGCGCAAAACAAATACTTTTAATATAGATATTACAAATCGCGTACCCGGTAGCTGACTTAGAAGGCAGGACACGAAAAAACTAAGTTCGTTGATGGCTATCATTTTACGACAGCGTGAAAGTTTCTTAAGCCAAATACACCGTACAACTGTACGAACTGGAGGTAAAATTAATACGAAAAGGGCTTTATAAGTTCATTGTTGCAGCTTGCGAAAATAACAATGGGGAGCCGGTAAAAGGGGGAGTAACAACAGTAACAAAAAGAAAACAGTTTCATTCAGAAATACGAACGAACAAAAACGCTGGCGTGAAAACAATCGATTATTAAGTAGAAAAAAGGCAGTCAATACGTAATTAATTATGTTATCTTATACTCGAATAATTTTCATTGTCTGAAATTACTTTGTGACCAATAAAAAATTAAAAATAGTACCTTGAAGCACTACTGACTTCAGGCTTTTCTTAGTTATGTCTGTAAAGTGCCGAATTTTTTTAGGATCGTTTGTTACGCAAAATTTGTATAAAAAATAATCAGTATTTTTTCTACTTAATTTTATTTTGTATGAAAGCTTTAAACTCCTTTAAATAATAAATAAATAAATAAAGACAACCTTGAAAAGGTAATTATTTTAGCTTTTACAAACGTATTAAAAGCGAGATGATACCTATTACAAGAAACAAATAAATAACAGATGAAAATCATCCTAGCTTATTTTGTAGTAGGTAAATGTTTTTTGTTCCAACATTACACCCGAATTGTCCTCTAAATCATTTAAAGGGCATTTATTTGTTTATCAGACGAGACTCAGTTTTTACCGTGTAACCGTGACGAAGAAAGTGAAATATTTACGACTCGGAATTAATAACTTTTAATATACGCGAAAATGGTGCATTTTTAAAGCACCCTGTGCCAAGATAATTTTCAAGGTAATACTTCATATAACACAATATTACATATTAAGAGAATCTTGAAGAAGTTGTAATATTGTTTTTAAAGGTTTTTCTTTAGATTTAGTCTCTTAAAATAAAAAACAATCGATTTTGTAAATGTTTTGTTTTTGTCATGATTATAGGTACGTACTAAAACTACGTGAATAATAACTGATTACATATAAATTGTTTTCAGTATTTGTGGTCTTTAAAGTGCCTGCTTTTTACTTTATTACTTGCACTCGATAAGCGACAGTAGAAATGTGAATGTATTGTGTAATCGAATTGCAATTTCTTTCTCTTTGCGCTTATTATACCAAAGTACTTGTACTTCACCTACATTTTGATGTAATTAAATTATTTAATTCGTAGCGTATCGGTTAATCACATGCATAAGTACATACCTATATGTATGAATATATATAAGGTGTTTCTTTGGGTAACTTATGAGAAATTAGCTTATTATTATATCAATATTATCTTGTTGATTATCACCTTTCCCTCATTTTATATCTAGCATATATTTATATAATAGTTAATGTGTTCACTTTTCTATTTCTTATTTAAGTATTTAGAAAGTGTATGTATAATATTGCATTCGCGTTAAATATAGGTTCAAAAATATCGACACGCTGCATTAAAACAATGCCCACTCGATTGGGAGAGTTGCAACATTGTTTTTAGTTTTTTGTTTTGCATGCAGTCTTTTTTTATTTAACGCGCTTTTTTTTTAATATTCTTTTTGTTTTTCTTTGCACAAAAGTGTTGTTGAACAATGTAGACGCTCAAGATTAGTTATTAAGTATGATTTTTGTTAAACCTTTTTGGGATTTATGGATGCAGTAATTATTTTTCAATGATGCTAAAAATTAATTAACAGCTAATCATTATCGTAAAACAGAAAATATTTAAGTGTAAGTAGGTGAAGATTTATTGATCGAAATAAGTTATTTGAATTAATTAAGCTATCGTTTGATAATAAAGTTTTCGGTTTTATTTTGTGCTATTTAAAAATACTCTTGCAATTGTTTTTAATTTGAGAACTTTCTAATTTTTTTAAAGGTCGCTTTCAGAAATTACATGTTTGACATATGCATTAGATTGCCTTGTACATTATGAATTATTTTATTGATACTGATATCGCACTTATACACACCTTGCCGTGAAAAGTTTAACTATTATGTGCTGGCCATTGCGAAATCGCAAAATATTTATGACTTACGGAATAGTTTGTAGGTACTTGACTTGTTACTTTGTACATGCATATATAGGTGTGTATTTGGAAAGGACATTTCACCTCAGTTTAGCCATGAACCCTTCGTGAGTAACGCCAACGATTAAACATGTTTTTAAATATGTCGAACAAAACTGACCACGACAAATAGGACACAACTTAATTGGCTTTTACTGTGCTTCTTAATGTTTAATACTAAAAATGTTTAACAAGATTTATTTTCGCAAGACTAGGGAAAAGCTTTTTGCGATAATCTAATCCTAAGCGTTAAATCGTATTACCTTTTAGCAACTTTTAATTAAAAAGTAACTGTTGTTAATGTTTACAAAATGAAAAATAATAAAAAACTTTAAGATAGAAAAGAAAAGTTTAGGCATGGTTTTATAAGAAATAATGCCCCTAAGTAAGTTTTTATTTTTCATTTTTGACTAATCCCTATGGCCACAGATACCTTTTTAATCCTATTTCGGAATAAAAATGTCTACAAGTATTCTTTTATGAGGGTGTCAATGCTTAAAAGTTGAATATCGAGTCCAATATGTTCCTAAATTGCATATTTTTGTGATTTATAACCAAAAATGTACCAAAAAGTCATTATAAGTCCATATAATCAAAGTTAATTAACATGCATTAAATGTTAATGAATAAATTAATCGCTTCTTGTGTTAATTATTCAATTATGCATAAATTAAGCTAAACCACGCCCCACTGTTAGTCGGCCATCATTTTTTTAATTGTTGTAGGTGACGGCCATTTTGGTTTCAATTGTTGTCGCATTATTACAGCTGTCGGCCATTATAAATTCTTTAATTGTTGTTCAAATTTGAAATAAGGCATAAATAAAGATTTATTAACACCTGAAACTGATTAATGAAGTTTTCTATTAAGAAAATACATGTTTGCGCCGCTTTTTTAAAAATATATCATACAACTAAAGCTTTTAATATTTTTTGTTTTCTTTTATTTCTAAAGATAGCAAGTTAAAGTTTAATAATAAACTTCTGCTAAGCATTGATTATGAGTTTTATCCTTATACTTAAGAGTTAACAATGCTATCTATAAATTAGGGAACTTTCAGGGCTTGTTCTCTTTATTTAGTATAAAAAAATTGTAATTATTACTACGAATTTGGTACATACGATATTTACATTTTACGTAATATCACGATGTGGTGCTTAAATTATATTTTGTAAATTTGATGATGAAAGGGTCAAATAAACTTTCACATTAATTACATGTCAGTTACTGCAACTTTAAAATATGTACAAACTTGGCAATTAACAGTTTAAATATGAAGTCATAACTATATTGGTCTTTATTATAAAGTTATTTATTTCTAATATGCTTATTTGTATGGTTAAAAAGTTTTGTTAGTAATCATCGATATATCTTTGTATATAAATCTGCAGATGCAGTTTTCAGTTTCATTAATTTTTCATGCGTCGATAGTCGTTTATTTTCTCAGAAAGTGGAATGAAATTACGCAAACTTTCACCTAGTGCAAGTTGCACTCCATTTGATTGTATAATCTCAATTAGAATGATAATTTATTATGTTTTATGTACATTTATGATTCTGGAATTCCATTGCGCGTTAATTAATCCACAATTTTTACGTTACGCGCCTAAATTAATTTGCGTGATATACTTTTAATTCGTCGTTAACTATATGGGTACTGCATAACATTTTAAATACATACTTATGTAAGAAAAGTACTTTTACTAATCGTAAGTCAGATAATAATGTTTCATTTTGTAAATGAGTTTTTTTTTTACACTAAAACTGTTTAAAAAGCATTTATATTGTGTTGGGGCTTTCCTAATATGAAAATTAATTTTAATAATAAAATAGCAAATGCTTTTTGTTCGATTTTCTTCTTTCTTTGATTTAAAAAGTTTACAGCAACACACATATACTATACGATATGTATACTTTTTGCATTCTTACATGTATGAAAAGTTGTCTAACACCGTACTTTCCTTAACAATTGACTGCATTTCAACAATCGTTCAACAATGTGGTTAAATGGGCGCTAATTTTGAACTGAGCGTTGTATGTTCCCCAATTAAATGCTTTAAATGTGTTAATAATACAATACAATTTAATATAAATAAAATTTTCAACATACGTTATGATGTAAAGCACATTGCTTAGTATAAGTTTATATTTTCTTTAAGAAAATGCAGAAAATGTATTGTAAAAAGAATACCAAATATATTCCTCACTTATTTATTCATTATTTCTTATTAATTATTGTTATTTTTTAATTGTAATATCGATAGAGAATCAAATGCTTTTTTACTATGTTTATTTATTGTGAAAAATGAAAAATAATTACAAAAAAAGTTTTATTTCCGCTGAAACACATTTTATTACTCACACTACAACTTTTACATGTTTTTATTCTTTTGTAGATACACAATGATTACTAAAGTTACACCAACACACTTAAGTAACTTAATTCTTCCTTCTTCTTCGCATTGAAGATGTACATTGTGGACAGTACCATTTGCCCTTCGGTGGGGCTGTGATTCCTACACAGGGATAGTGGAACCATTCGGAGGGGCACTGAAACGGTAAGTGAATGGAATTATTTACGTTAAAATTATTGAAAAAAAAAAGGAAAGAACACGTACATCTTCGTTGTCACAGGCAACCATATCACCATAAGATACTTGATTACAAATGCAATATCGAGGCTCGTTGGGGTCGTACGTCCAATCTGCATCGACATTATCCGCAGATTGGACGGTGGTCTCGGTCAGTGGGGACGCAGGGGCCGAATTTATCACAGATGACGCGTTCAGAATCGACTGAACCGCAGATGAAACCGAACTAGTGTTTGTACTGCTACTGCTGGACCATTTCCTAAAAAAATAATGATACAACTGAAAAGTAAACATAAAAGGAAGCCAAACTAACTTTTGCTTCTTCTTATTGTTAACATGGTCCTGCTGAATCGCTTGTATGGCTGTCTGGGCAGCCCCTGCCAGCTCCCTGCCTATTCCGAACTCATTCACATGCGCCCCAGTATTAATAGCTTCATAAGAGGCCTTCAAACTTGCAGTTCTTCGACCCTGTTGCATCTAAAACATGAGCAAATTAGTTCAGAACATATTTATTTCAACATTAATTTGTTTGTACCTGTTGTGTGGCTGCAATAGCTTGGGAGGCTGCGGCAGCTATGGCCGGACCAGCCCCTATGTGCCCCAGAGTGTAATTAACATTAGAAGTGGAGTTTGTGGCCACCTGAGTGACCGGTGTGTGTTTGGTTTCAATAAGGGGGACAGGAGCTGTGGCAGCAGTTGCCTGCCTTTTCTCTGTAAATGTGGTTTGAATGGTTGTGTTACTGTCTCTCCTTTTCTCACTTCTCGGTCTTGTGTACCTGCACATGCCAAAAACATTAATTTATTGAGACATGAATCGTTTCATCGGAGTGTACCTCTCATATCTGTTTTCTTTCTGTTGACTGAAATGAGAAGAAATGTTAGAGCCGGCACTTTGTGTGTCCAGTTCCAAAGAGCGTTTCTCCAACAGCTCTGTAATGCCTTTGTTGTCTGCCTCCAGTTCACATTTGAACTTGTGCAACTCGGTGTCTAGTCTACGTAAATATTTATCAACCAATTCATACATCTGGTTGGCCAGTTGGACCTTAAATTGAATTTAAATTGTTAGATTTCATTTGAACTGTTCAAATATTATATTTAACCTTCTCATCAGCATCTTCTAAGACTTTGTAGTATTCTTTTCGAACGGCTTCAAATTCAGCATCTGCAGATTGGGGCAAGTCGCTTGAATATTTCTTGCAGTCGGAAAAGAATACTTTGACTCGTTTTTCCAACTCGTCCATGTTGTCTTAAATTATAAAAGGATCAGTCTTTGAACACTACACCAGTTTCTAATAACTTACTTTGAACTGAAAGGTCAAGTTCTCTCATTTCTGTGAAACGGTCCCTTAACTCTTGGGGAAGGTGTTCTATCACTATATCAGAGCAAAATAACATAAGTTATATTTAATTTTCTTAATTTTAATACACAAACAAGACAAGAAGCTAATGGCCTCTTATGGTGTACATTTAAAAAGGTATTTTACGCTATATTAAATAAATCTTTACAAAATATAAAACAACATTAACTTACTTTCTAAATAGTCTTCTAAGTACAGCATTTTCTTAATAATTATTCACTGTATTTCTTAAAAAGTAATCAAATTTCTAAAAATCTACCTCGGTTAACCTCAATCTTTTGACAACTACTTTGAAGTCAACTATCATTGGTGTCTAAATAGAAGCTGGACGTCATAATATAGTAGCGCCAAAATTTAAACTTTCGGACTTTTGGACACTTGAAAAAGCGTAAATAAGAAATAAAACAAATGTATTAAAAACAGAACCATACTTTTTAAGTTTTATTTTTGTTTTTTATGTATAATTAAACGTACAAAATAAAAATATGTGTTATTTTATTACTTAAATACGCATGAACAAGATTAACAAGTAATTAGGTACTTAGTTAGAATGTTTGGTGCTTTATTTCTGAATTAATAGGAATGAAAAAGGTACCATAATATCTTATAGTCATAGTCTGAAAAGTTTCATTATATTTTCTAATGCATGTGTAACGTGTGGCGATGAGCAACCCCCTTTCTTGTTACATGCGAGGGTAGTAGGAAGTCTAGACCTAGAAAAAATAATACATTCTAATTAAACACACCGTAGAAAATTATTTTTGTCTGGCTAAAGCCCTTTGTGCGATTTCCTTAATAAACTGTAAGCGAGTTATTAGCGAAGCAAAGTGGAGAAAAAGCTCGCAATGTGTTTATAAGTAAACAAACAAAATTGTTGCGATGCCATCAATATTGAACCAATTAAATTACAAGGAACACGTCGTTCCTTCGATGGCCTTCTGAACGCTTCCTGTCCAAACCCTGAAATTGGTGTTGTTATAATCCAGACTGCTGTAGATGAAGAGGGGCATGTTGTTCGTGAGGACGATCACATCGTCTCCCGAAACTTTCACGTCTGAAGGGTAGATCATTTTCACTTCGTCGCGATCGACAATGTCGAAATTTTTCGACAGGAATTCTTTGTTCGTGTTCCAACATCCCAAACCATTTTGATTTATTAGACCCATAAACAACACTCCCGTAGGTTCATGCATGGCGGTCATTGTGGTATGCGCACCAGGACCGCGGTCACCCAGAACCTAGACATTGAGAAATACATAATTAATTTAAAAGTAATTAAGTAAACGTTAATTGAGGTCATTTATATACTACTTTTACGTTATTAAAAGAGGAAGTCGATATTCTCGAACGTTTCAACATCAAATGGTACATTTCTCTTAACGACTGATTCCAAGGTTTACAAATGTACATGAAAAAGTCAGAATTGTACCTTGAAATCGTCTCCATGGTAAGTTCTGGTGGCCAGTTCCCGATTTCTCAGTATTCTGGAAGAAACGGCGTACATATGTCGTCCTACCATGGAGTGGAAGAAAACCGTTCTAAAACCATCTTTGTCTCTTTTGCCCAGAGCAGTACTGAAGATACCATCGGTCCATTGGAATTTTATACCAGCAACTTCGATGTCCCCTGCAGACGGCTCCATAGCGAAGTAATTGTGGGTAACCCTCCATGAAGAATCGTTCGCGAAATCGTAGACAATCAGACCGTAACCACCCAGATCAACTATGTAGGCGAAGGTGTCGTTGCAATTTTCTGGGTCCACGTCAATGGTCAGGCTCGACAAACCAATGGACCCTGGGGCTAGATCGGAACTTTTCAGTTCATATCTCCTTATCACGGTGTCGGTGTTCAGGTCTATTGCGAATACCGTAGGAGGTCGAATTGGGGCGCGAGATCCTATTTTAGGAAAGAATAAGAAGTTGCTTTGTATTTGGGCAAAACTTACCAAGGCTGTTGACAACTCCTGCATCTACAAACCAGAGCCTGTCGCATGTGTCAACTGCTGTTCGATAAACTGATACAATACGATCCCTATTGGTACTATTAAGACGATTGTAGTCCCAACTGGGATAGGGAATGAGGGGGACGTTGTGTTTGCTCGTGGTGTTTGTCCAAACGTAGTTTAAAGTCGAAGGAACTCCGAATCTCCTTCTTGGAACAGTCACAAACAACTTGTCTTTCCATTTGTTTGCTCCCATGGGGATGTTGTTTTCTGGAAATGATAGGAAACAGTGGTGCAATTTATTGGTCGTTCAAGCGAATATAAAGATTTTGGTACAATTTTTTTTGCTTTATTGCTTGCCTTCGGTCGGATTAATTTATGCGTGCGTGTACCATTGGTACCGGTATTGCTAAACGACCTGTTACAGAAAAGTCCTTGATTACAGAATTTTATTGAATTTAAATTATGTATGTATGGAACTAATTAAATTTTACGCAATCTTCCACATATTCTTTCACGTAAATCTGAATCAATCAATTAATTAGTATTAAAATGAAAAATGGTTCTTAATTTACCAAAAATGTATTCTAAATCTCTTTCGTTTCGATTGTTATCGTCGATTTGTGTATTTCCGCTCGGAGACGCGGAACTACCCCTGAAGAATTTTCTGGTGTCCATCGCCTCCCTTCCCTGCAGTACGTTGGAAGGTTCAGGATCGTCGGGCCATTGATAATCGATCCTGGTCCAGGTGTATTCTTCATTTAGGCCTTTACACTCGTTCTCGCAAAACACGAAAACCAAAAGCACCATCAATGTTAACAACGCACTCATGGTTGTATACAAACTAACTAATAATTGATCTACCTTCTAAATGATTATTATATCGCCCGTTGTTGGACTTTTACTAAAATATTCCAGCATGCAGGTAATTTATTCTAAGGTTAAACGCTGTGCCCTTGCCTCCCATGTATAGTATACAAATAATTATTTATTGCTACAAGCAAAATCTTGGTAAACTCGTTCTTCTAATATGAAGATGGGAACAGTTGCAGCTAACTCAAAACATACCTATGCTAAAGTGGTTTAATTAATTATGGGTATGGTTGAATGGCCCCAACAAGTTTCTTTTTAATGTTCTCTTAATATTTTTTCTTTGAAAAACAAATACTTTGTATTCTATTAATTTGCATTCTCTAAAATTTATCAAAAGACAACATTTGTTGTTGTTGAAGATTAAATACTAAAAATTTGAATGGAAACAAATGCAGTATTTGATCTTCCTTTTAATTCAATTCTATTGTTTATTCAAGATAGCATTTGTTTTGCGAAAAACAATTTTAAAATAAATTTTTTGTTTTCCCAATGAAGGGTTTTGTTCTAAACAGTGTTTAAGTTGGCGCTATCTTACAAAATATTTCCACGAACAAAAAACAACATTCAATATAATGTAATATTTAAATATAGACTATGAACAATTGCTAAGAAATTGTATTTCATGTACAGGCAGTATATATCAGTATAAATAATTATCTGACTCGGTTTAGGTAATTTTCCAATTTTGGTTTCATCTCAAAAATCTTCTTACTTTAATAACATAATTTACTGTTCTTGTATTATCTTAATTTATGCTTTAAGATATAGAAAATGTGTGATAGGGAGTTGTGTTTTTAGGATCATGTAGAATATATTAATCAATTTTCTATTTATAGTCTAACAAGAACTGATAATAATTTTGCTTATCAATTAATACAGTCGCGTGGTTCTTTTGTTTTGGTGATTGATTCCCGCAGGCGCCTTTCCAAAAATCAAGCACCACCTTTGTCCGAACAGCATCCTTGATCTCAATCTTGCGATTCTTCGTTCATCGGTTGCGTCAATAAAGATAAATTAATCGATGGAATAATAATAATAATTATTATTATTGTTATTCGTAAGTTTATCGAACACGCTGTTCAATTTAGTTAATCGTACGTAAGTGCAGAATTTAATGAGATAGCCGATGCAAAATTTGTACATTACTTACGTTATCGAGAGTCAATCGAAGACGTCGATAAAAGTTGAAGAGGTGCCGTGAACGACAAGTATTTCAAGTACGTACAACCTTATCAGCGAATAATAATGATAAAGAGGAAATTTTGGATTGCTTTTGGTCTCATAGGTAAATAAATAATTTTAATTTAAGTACTTTTTTCGGTTGTTACTGGAATCGGCAACAAAAAATCTTTTTATTTAATAGATAAGAGAGCAGACAGACTATTAATTTATTGAACAATTAAGATTATAAAATTTGTTTCAATAATCCGTTATTCAATCAGCTTCTTCCATCCGATGAAGGCATTGTATTGTGAAACAATTGATAATAGATTATCAAAATTAAAACTCGAGTATCTTTTGTTTTTATGTCGGCCCGTACATTTAACACGTATGTAATAAAATACAATGTCAAACTACATCCAAATTTCAAAAACATTAATGAAAAAGTTATTTATATTCTGTTTGCCCTTGTTCTCGAAATAATAAAAATTTGTGATTAAAAATTGCGTGATTAGCCGAATCAGATTATTTAAATCAAAAGTAGAATATTAAATGTGTATAAATTTTAATGAAACGCTGATGGTAATTTATTAATAAAACTGCGCAATTAATCATTTATCATTATATCTTATGTAAATATAAATTAAAAATAGAACAAAATTGATGAAATATTTTTAGAAATATTACGCACACGCAACGTAGAATTTAATATATAATTTACTATTAATTAAACAATACTACTGATTATTATTGTAGTCCTTGTCCAGTTAATTACTGTCAGTGTTAAGTGGCTGTATTATTTCGTAATGTCCTACGTTTTTTTAATTACTTTAGGTTTGTTTGTTGTTGCTGTATCAGCAATGCCACCCCCCGCAATAATGATGTGCAGCAAGCGTTATTGCAAGGGTGTCAAAGACGGGCCGGTTTGTGGCATCGATAGTTCGGGTATTCCCAAAACTTACGAAAGCAGTTGCAAGGCGTACTTGGATTATTGTCTTGATGGAAATTGTACGTAACGATTACAATACTATTCCTCATACAAAGGATAAGGATCAAGGATCAATAAGGTCCCATTCCAACCCCAAAAAAAAAAAAAATTAATAATTTGTTAATACCGCGCAAAATTAGAATAATGTTTGATTTTCATCAAAATTATGCATTTTTCTGTATGTTATGTATTGATAACCGATTGTTAATACTTGGGGAAAGTAAAACATAGAAAAGGTTAGAAATTAGGAAATATTGGAAAGACCTGGAGAGCATAGGGCATTATGGGAGTCAATAATACATAATAGATACATGCATATTGGTAGGACACCTTTTCAGTCACGAAAGGGTAGGTAGAAACATATTAGAAGCAAAAACAGGAGTTAAGAGGGGCATAGTAATTAAATTGAGCCTTATTAATCCTCGTCCTTTGGATTTTCACGTTAAAAATCACAAGACCCAAATGTAAATTTGTGTCCGATTGATTTTGGTTGTACTTTTTCTTGTAGATATTGCAATGGTGAAACCTGGTGTGTGTTAACTGTATTATTTCGTACCAGGTGGGATAACCCATGGAAAAAGTGGTTGTAGTTCCAAGAAGTATTTTCAAAAAGATAGAAGAAAAACGCTTTTGCTTTACAGTTAATACAAAAACCCTAAACGCAATAATTAGAAAGTGGCATTTTGTTAGGTATAATTAGTTAACTGGAATGTACTTAAAAAAATTGTGCAAACGTTTAAAACAAAATCGAGTATTACTTGAATAATATATTTTTAATGACGATTATTATTATTATTATTATTATTTAAATGTTAGGTACGCGGCTCCAGCATGGGTTCAATTTGTTCAGTTTTGTTTTGTTGTTCTAAAATATATTTCTCTAGACGTGTTTTATTTACTTCCCTATCATTTGTTTAATAGCGTGTTCGTTACACCTCGTAAACAAACGAAGAATTACATAACGCCGTACGAAAACAAAAAAGAAAAAGAGAAGGGAACTAATTATCGTTATTATTCTGTTCTATCAAAAGTTAGAGGTCAGTTTTTCATATTGAAAAATTACGATTACGGTAATGTACTAATTGGTGCATTACAAAAAAACTTATATTATCTCATAATATTATCTAAGAAATACTAGGAAAGGGAAAAATGAAAACGAATTATTGTTGAAGCGATGAAAATGTAATTAAAAAGCAGTACAATTCGTCATTATTATCAGAGAGCCTATAGTATTGATAAGCGTCAATATTGAACAGATTAAATCAATTTTTCTTCTTATGTAGGTATATGTAAATTTTCATTTAGGATAATCTTACTCCGCCACCCCCAGGGCATTCTCCCTTGTGCTTTATTTGCAAATCTGTAAAATAAATTTTAGAGATAACAATTTCATAGTCTTTTTGATTAAAAAGTTCATGTTATATTTACTTTGGCCCTGTTCGCAGTTGTGTCTTTCTAAGACGCACTTGTTCCCGAACGTCCTGTCTTTGCCCTTATTATCCCCGGCACAAACGGGTTCATAGTCCTGGGTGCAATCTGGGTTACATGCTTTCTTTTTTAGGGAAGCCTTGGTAGATCCCTTACTGGGGTAACCATAAGCCAGTGCCACCAGTACGACTTGAATAGAAAAGTTTCAATTTTTTTTACGATTTTACTGCATTTAATATTTTACAATTTAACATATGTATGTGCTTTGATGATTATTGCGTCTTCTCTTTTTCTTTTCTTGATTTTGTGCTCTGTTTCTGTAAGGTCAAATCAATTCAGGTCTCTTTGTTGAGGTTCAATTTTATTGTACGTTTCCTTGTTATTTTTAGCATTAAAGTACATAATTGATGCAATTGTTTTTTAAATAATAGACAGTGGAATAATCCGTGCGATAACAAACGATAAGACGGAGCAAGCAATTGTTTATGTGCAGAGTTCGCTAGAAGATGTGTTAAAAAAGGAATAGATAATATAGAAAAACTGTCTAAAACTGTTGAATTTCGATGCCTGTGGATTTGTTTTGTATGAAAATAAGTATTTATCCATTTTTTACAAGGTACATAAGTCGTTTTTACCATTGACGATGGATTGACTTGAGGTCAAGCACCTTGTTGTAAAATAAATCAAAATTTGTTGATAACCTGTTTGGTGAATCGCGAAACTTTTATTACGTAGTATTAACAACAGAAACAAGCATGGTTAAAAAATTGCGATTTAAAAACTGATTTTGAAAATTGAAAATAAAATTTGTGCTTGGTACGATAATTATAATTCTAAGAAACTGTTTCCGGTAAAACCACTTAAAAGAATATTTAGTTATTTAAAAAAAATGTGTGTTTTGAAGAAAAAATTCTACATACCCAATAAGAGAACAATTGCAAACACTCTCATCTTGTTGCTGTAGTAATAATGATGGAATAATGAGGATTTACGGTTTATACATTCTTGCATATGTATGTATGTATGTGTGTGTGTATAGAAGGAACTATTAGTGTAATACAGGGCCGGACCAAGGTCACTTGAAGACTAGTAACTTCAAATAAATAATATTTAACAATAATTACCTTTTGGTACCCCCAAAAGTTTTTTCCCAAAACCATCAATAATAATCATTTACCAAGTAAACCAGTTATTTGAAATTTTATTTAAAAAATAAACAACGAAAGTCATGAATGTTGTATTAATATAAAAGAAAATGAAAAAACAAGTTAGATACTTTATTCTAATCCGAATTTATGTTATTAATTGTTGTTGTCATTGCGTTTATCTTCGTGAATTATATAAAACTCTGTAAGATAAGAAAAACGTACTAGATCAGGTATTATATGAAATAATAGACCAATCAAAACCAATAGGGATGAAATAAATTTATTTATTCACAAAAATTTATTTTACCCTTTTTTTGACTGTTATTGTTCTGTTATTAGGAGAATAAATGGAATCTAATTATTTAAAATGTTTTAACTTCTTAGATTTGGTTTACGTACTGTATACTGTTAGAAGCACATCGTAATCGGTATTAAAATAGTCCTCCGGATTTCCTTATGAACGGTTTTACAGATCCTGTCGACAGACAGATAATTATTACGTTATTATTTGGGTGTGTATGATGGAAAGGTCGTCGAAGAAAACTTACTTGAACAAACGCCAGGTCTGACGATTTGGTAATCTGCAACAAAATTGAGGTTTCAGTAACGTTTTTTTTTTAATTTCCATATATTTATACAATTGTAAACCAAAGCAACTGTTTTCATTTAACTACTCACCCTGATCTTCCAGGCAATTCAATTGGTCCACTTCACAAGCATTTCCGAAAGTTAGTCTGTTTCCTTTTCCGTTAACGCCACAAACAGGTTCGTACACGTCCGCACAACCCGAACATTCCTGGGCTTTTCCCAAGGATCCTGTTACACCACAGCTCCAGGATAGAGCCATGAAAACAACTGCGTTAAAATGAAGCAAAATTATTGACTTTACATTTCTGTTATATGTATAAATAACAAAAGACGATAATTAAAAAAAAAAGATTGCCTTACCTAAAAGTAACCCTGAAACTGCCTTCATATTTTTTGCTTATAAGACAGCACTTACAAAATACAAAATGGCAAAGGTTTATCTGCGTTATATAGCGCAAGTTAAGGTATGTTAAACTGATAATAAACAGACATTGTTTCGAAGATTAAAAATGAAGTGTTTTTTTTTAGATTTTGATCGATAATATCTTAATGTTAATAAAAATACTTTGGTATACTTCGTTTACTTTCTGTAGCGATGTGACCTTCAGTTTGACCGGCGCAAAGTAGAAAAGAATAGCACTAGGCCAGAAAAGGAAAGAGACAACTCTAGGCCAAACTTTTAACCGGCGAGGAGCGTATAATCCGTACAGTACTGCACGGAAAAATTGACCATTTTATCCACTGCAATTTCATTGCTCAAATGTGCTGTTATTGGTACCATTTACTACTGAAAATATCAACGAGATGTTTATTTAAATTTGAAGACATATTAAAGGCTTTAACGCTTGTTTTCGACTCGCACTACTATTTATTATTGAACAAAACTTTTGGCAGGTACTGTATGAAATAGTATGTTTAATGAACAAGAGTCGAGAGTATAATGAGCTTTTTTCTCCCTACCTACGATTTTGCCAGCGCGCATCCAAGACATTGGAAGGGGCACATCGCTAGAGAAAGTAAACGAAGTATAGTTGCAGTAGGAAGTTTAAATTTGAGACTAAGTCCATAATTGTTGTAATTGTTGTAATTTGGACAAATTGTGAACAAATTTGAGAAGTCCATAATTGTTGTAATTTGGACAAATTGTGAACAAATTTGAGAAGAGAGATTTGACGTTTCCGATAGCGTTTTCTAGCCCAAAGTTTACATTAACTTTTTCGGTCCTAGACGGTAGTTAAAAAAAACAAAATAAAAATATTTAACACTGTTTTCTATGCAGGCAAATGATGAAAATTATCTACTTGTTTCTGTCACTCCCAGACGCGATAACTATAATCATTCACACGAATAGATCTTATATTTTCATTCGTCTGACGTTATCTTATTTTGAACTACTTTTAATCATTAAATTCTTAAGAAACGCTAAGAGTATCCAGATTTTTCATTAAATACGTGTTAAAAAATAAACAAAGAAAAACATGCATATTTTATTATTATTAAGAAAATTTAATAAACAAGTAAGTACACTTTTCTAGTATCGCATATATATATACCTAATAATTTTATTGTAAAAGTTTTGTAAATCCAAATTAAACTACTTAACATCTTGCACTAATTGTTGTTGTCTGAAAGTTAAAAATAGCGTTTAGATCAAGCTTCGGATTTTCTTAATTCACACTGACAGGTAGATTTGGATGTGCTTTCTTTTGAAAACAAAGGCCGTTCTTGAAGAATTTGTAACCTGGAAAAAATATTGACGTTTTATTTTAATAAAGTTATTTAATAATAATCTATAATGTAGAATCTGTCCTTAAAAACTAAATGCTGGTAGATTCAAGGAGGGAATAACGAGATATCAGTTCCGTCATTCGTAATAACATGGCTTTTCTTCATAATCTGCAGATAATAGATACTTATAGATTTTTTGTGTTCATGTAATCTGAATTTCAAGGCTGTGCTGGTTTGACCCATGTATACAGTTTATAATCTTCCTGTTTCTTGTAACAGATCCATCTTCTCCCCAAGTAGCGTAATTAAATCTAACTGTTGCATATTTTAATGATACATGTTAGATAAAATTAATGGATATTGTTTATCTTCTTTAGTATTTGGGGAGTTTTGAAAAATACAATTGTAAAATAAATAAAGTGTACTCACCCTCTCCAGTCAAACAATTGTATCGGTTCAGTGCACACGTGTTTGAGAACGTTCTTCTATCTCCGTTTTCATTACGACCACAAAGTGGTTCGAAGTCGCCCGAACAAGTCGAACATGCCTTGACTTGGTCTAAGGATTCTGTTTCGTCATAGCTCTGGGATTTAAAAAATTCATCTGTAAAATTAATCAAAATTATTTTCATTATAGTTTTATTAGGCGCAAACACCAATTAGTCTAGTTATTCGTTATTGTTTTTATCGTTTTTATAAATGTCACACAATTTGTTTTCCGACTTACTTGGACAACTGCCATTCCTCACGAAGCTGTAGTCTGCAAAAAATATTGAGTATTCAGTTTAATACAGTCATTGCTAAAAAACTTTGTTAGAAGATAGTATTTCATTTTTGTGGTAATTTTTTAAAGCACTTTCTTTCCCTTTACTTTGTTTTTATTTTGCTACTTACTCTCTCCATTCAAACAATTGTATTGGTTCATTACACAAAGATTCCTGAATCTTCTTTCATTACCGTTTCTATTACGGCCACAAACAATCCATATCCGGAGCGAACAATTCTGACATTGCTGGGCTTCCCCGTAGCTCCAGAGTAGAGCCAAGAAAGCGACTGAAGTAAAATCAAGCAAAATTATTGTCGTTGTAGCTTAGTTAGGTAAAAGAAACAAAAATAAAAAAGTAAAGTAACTCTGTCTTACCTAAAAGTAACGTTGAAATGGTCTTCATGGTACTTGTTGATAGGAAAAGACTGATAATATAATAAAATGGTAAAGGTTTAGCTGTCTTATATATGCCAATTTATGACCTTAAAGCGTCGAATTGAAGATTAATATAATAAGGAGCTCTCTAGAAGATTAAAAATTAATTGTTCCTATTTTTTAGCGTCATATCTTAATTAGTAAAAAAAACTGAAAACAGATTAAATTTAAAAAAAGTCGGAAGACCGGGTTTTTGACACATCACGGATTTTTTTTCCGAAAATCGTTCAACGTAAGCATGTCTGGAGTATTTGAAATCCATCGTGTGTATCATTTTCTCCGATCGAAATAAATTTAATAAAAAATCCACGTGTAAATTTTTATCTATCAGTCTATTATACGATTAATAGTGTTTCTCCGCAGGTTAGCTAGAGTTAATTTTTCTAAACACGTGTTAATGATTATAGAAACGACTACACAAAACGTAATATTTTCTATCCCTGGGGAACAATATTTCTTTCTGGATAAACGGTACAGTAAGTCCTTTTCTGTGTCCCTCGCAATCTATATACAAAATTTCATGATAGATCTTACTTGTGGCTTGGATCGCTTTGATGTACTAAATACCTGTCAAAGATCATCGATGACCTCATAAAACGAACTTTTTCTATCCCTCGGGAACCCTTGTCCTCTTCTGTACTTCTAAGAATGTGTGTACAAAACAATCATTTCCATTTCTAATATGACTTAGGATTTTATGACAAGTTATGTGGGAGTGCTGTGAAATACGCATTTGATAATAAAATGGGATTATCGCGTGTAGTTTCCACGAAAACGATAGAGAATTATCTATAATTATTTTTATTTGGAACCGGTGGCTGGAAAAGTGTCGATAGGCTGGTTCGATTTTCAGTGGTTTAAGCAAAGGTATCTTTTTTGAAACCAAATGTTAATTTTAAGCCAGATATTTTTATATTTTTGAATAATGAATATTAAGATTAAGATTGAATATCTCGTTCGAATGAAGAAAATTGTTTTTCGCTCGATAAGGTTTCTCCTTATCAGACTTTTATTGACGATAGGAAATTTGCCAGGAAACAATTTTGAACTTCTTATTTAAGTACAGTGAACTTCGGGTGTAACGACGACGAGGGGACCACTCTAATTTCGAGGTTATATCCGATTTCCGACTTTTTTTTTACAACTAAAAAAATCGGTTGTCTGTAAAGTCGATTTACTGACGATAGTTGAACGTGACAACGTCATAAGAAAATACTGATGGAATGGTTTCATTTTTCAAAAGAAAATTTTAATTTTATTTGTTTGATAGATATTTTGTATGGATATAGAGAAGGACGCGGACGCATCGCTTACTCAAGTAGGAAAGAGACAGATGTCGAACGCTGCCGAAGCGGAGGCCAATTGTGCCTCTTTGTCGCTCGTTCCGCGCTCTCGCTTGGACTTCAAGCCTTAAATGGAACGCCTCAGAGCGAGGTAACGCCGCATGAGTCATGTTTTTTCGTGCGTGCAGCCGGCTCCATCGAATTATAAGACGTTGTCACGTCAAAAGTTTATTAAACACAGTTGCTACTCAGAATATCAGTTTGTAATTGAACCATTTTAATGTACATGCTTACCTACCCATCTGGGTAATATCTATAAACAAACGGTTAAAGGTCACCACACTTGCTGACCCTATGTGTGGATGTAAACAAAAGATAAGAAAGGTCACTGTATCTGCATCGGATTACTAGGGATTTGTTACAAATGATTAATTAAAAAGAGTCGGTATATCCGAACTCGGCGTTACATCTGAAGTCGTTATAACCACATGAATTTTGTACCAAAGTATGTTTTCAATTCAAAGGACTTTTAATCCACTTTATTTTTAAAAATATATTCGTTCATTTAAAACTAAAACTATCATCATCATCCTAAAACTGGTTGGACACGTACCTCCACTCTTTCCTATCCTGAGCTAAACTTCGCATTTCCCTAAAACTAGAACAGCCCACACCCTTAACTATTTGCGAACAGTAATCTAATCTGGGTCTACCTCTACCCCTTCTAACTCCTGTTTCTGCCTCTGGTATGTCTCTGACTAGATCTTCATGCCTAAGAAGGTGTCCTACCAACCTATCTCGCCTATTTTTTATTGACTTCCACAGAGTCCTCTGTTCTCCTATTCTTTCTAAAACCTCTTCATTTCTAACCTTTTCTACCCACTTTATCCTGATCATCCGCCTATAACACCACATTTCGAAGGCTTCTAACCTTTTCTTTTCCGCCGCTCCCACTGTCCATGTTTCGCACCCGTACAACGCCGTGCTCCAAACATACACCTTTAACAACCTTTTTCGAATTTCTAA